CCAATCTTGTGTGTGTATATATATACATATAGTCAATCCTTGACAGGGTTAGTAAGAAATGAATGGTATAGACTGAAGAGGCTTCTAAAGTTCTAAGATGATGGGGTCTATTTGGAGATATTGGCTATTTAGCAATCACATGGTGTCGTCTTCCTACTCATTATGCAATCAAAGTTTTGGGGTGAGAAGACTATACGTCCAAACTGGTCGGCTAAAACACCAACAAATACACCACTTTGTGGATTGTAATTGATAGGAAAATCAATTAGTTGTTTGGTGGTAATTGGAACCGAATTGGGGTTACCTAACAGACATAAGCACCTGAAAGACCACATGGTTATGTTCTCCAGCTCATTTTAAAGAACTTGGCAGTGATTGAAACTGTATAGTAGACGGAATACATGATGGTCAACCATTAAAATTAAGTGTTATATGGATATCAGAAGCCGGTCCACTAGTTTGTTTAAGTGACTAACCTTTTCAAATATTGGACAGGCGTAAACATCACATCTTCATCTTCATTTTCGTGAGGAAAATAGGAGCTTGTGGACCAGACTAATTTTTTATATCATTTGTTCTTCAGGGTATATTGTCAAGTAAGTAACAAGTAGGGTATATTATCATTGTACTGTTAAAAGACAATGAATCTGCTGACAAATTTTTTTTGTTTTAAATGGAATTACCAATATCAAAACGCTCGAGTAAAAAAAACGTACCCGTTTCTTTTGCTATTAATTTCAATTGCGACCTATCCTATTTCAAGTATTCGTAGTAACTATTAATCCATTAAACTTTATTCTTCTTGAGGCTTTTTCTTGTCTTTTTTTTTCTTTCCTTGAGGGAAAATTTTACTGAAACTTTTGCTTACCACTAAGGGAGTATATTGGAGAATGAAGGCTCATGGACACAACTAGCTCTCAAACAGAAAAATAAGGGACTTAAGATCTGTAATGCTCCGTTTATTTTGAGGGTTCTGACGTAGTTTAGGATCATAGTTCTTGGTTCGTTACAATGTTTTTCTCTCACAAAAAATTTAAATTTTAAAAAATTAGAATCATAAACCATGGTTCTGAACTCATTAACCAAACGTCATCGAAGTCTCCTAAATCTATAAGCATTAAATATTACCAGAACAGAGCAAGTCTACTTTTCCAAAATGAATTGTGAAAAAGAAATAGATAGGGATCATGAGAGAAACATGATCTCGTGGGAGTCCTTGGGTTTGTCTTCTCTCTGATCATGACACGAAGAAGAGTTCACGTGACAGTGACCAAATTGTATATGTACGCGGAAGTAATATGACCTACCCATTTCAGATTACAGGCAACAGAAGAGAACCCACCAAAGATATTAAATGAGGTTTTGGATAATCAACAAACCAGCTTGACGATTTGATCATTTGTGGAGTTAGAGTACTATTTACTCCACCAAATAATTTTAAATTCATGGCCGTATGATTCAATGTACTAAATTATGCTACAATTTTGTGCGAAGACAAAGGATTGCATATGACTATGGGAAAGGACTATAAAATTTGTGTTTATTATCATTAGCACAATCATCATCATCATCATCAACAACAACAACAATAATAATAATAATAAACGAAAAAGCTGTTGTAAAGTAATTTCGTTCGTTCCGTTGTCGACCCTATCTATGTTTCTATAAGGGCTTAAGAACACCCTCATTCTTCAGCCGTAGAGTGACTTTTGGATTACGAGGTACCATTCACTTGTTTTAACTACTCATGCTATGCATGTGGGAGCATCAACTCTATCCTTGCTGGCTTCTGAGGAGCGGGAGAAATTTTTAGAACCCTATGAAAGATGATGATGATTATTATTATTATTATTATTGTTGTTATTATTATTATTATTATTATTATTATTATTATTATTATTATTATTATTATTATTATTTATCCAATTTTATTGAATTTGTATTATTTTTCGTTTAGTATGATTTTAAAATGATCATCCAAAATTTTCAATATATATATATATATGTGTGTTTTAAAGCCTATTGTTTATCCGTAAACCGTCACAGATTTTATTTTAAAACAATGTTTGGTGGGTTCCATATGTACAACTTATTCCATATTAGTTGTGGTGCCCGGTGCTACCCAAAAGCATTTTTAAATTGTTAAAAAAAAAAGTGTTTTTTTTTTCAATGATAAAAAGAGCATTTTCACCTTTTTTCTTTAATTTTTATTTTGCTTTCCACAAAGATTCCATTGGTACCACGTAACAGATCTTACATCGTACATCATACATATATAATGAAAAGCACACCAATTTTCCAAACCAGTTGTCTTATTTCTGCCATAAAATCATAACCAAACTCCCGAAGAAGATTCACATCCCCAAGATTCCATTCCCGGGGGATTCCCAAATCTCCCATTCATTCATCTTCCTACTAAATTTTTCGAGAAAATTATGGGTGATCGAAACGACGCCAACAACAATGGAAATGACCGGGAAAACAACATCGACGACGATCCGAACCAGAAGATGAAGAGGGAAGAAGGTGAATCTCTGTCGGTGGAGAGGATCTTTGCGAGCCAAGAGGTTCCGTCATGGCGGAATCAGCTAACTGTGCGGGCGTTTGTGGTGAGCTTTGTTCTGAGCATTCTCTTCACCTTCATAGTCATGAAGCTCAATCTCACAACTGGGATTATCCCTTCCCTCAACGTCTCCGCCGGGCTTTTGGGGTTCTTCTTCGTCAAGGTTTGGACGAAATTTCTGGAGAAGTCTGGAATTCTAAAACAGCCATTCACCAGGCAGGAGAACACCGTCATTCAGACGTGTGTCGTCGCTTCCTCTGGCATTGCTTTCAGTGGTAATTATTCAATTATTATTATTATTATTATTATTATTTGTAAGATAAGATGAATTATTGAAATTTAAGATGAATTATTGAAATTTAATATTACTTAAAATAAATGATGTGATTATTTAATTAAATTAATTTTGAAACACACTATGGTGAGACCATAGGAGGCCACACGCCCAAGCACATGGAGGCGCATGGGGCATGTGGCACAGAGAGAATCCCACTGGGATTCAGTTGTTTGCTCTCTAAGATATCCGGTTTACTTGTTTGACAAGTTTTCCAATTAAATTTAAAAGAAAATTAAAGTTTGACTTTATTTATATTTGAATTTGAGCTGAAATTGGAACCTGGATAAAATGGAGAATTTATATCCTCCTCTTGGCTGATAATTACGCCAACCAGGAGGAGATATTCTTGTGGTGTGGCCGGCCATTGCAGATAAGGGAAGGGACAAATTTTGTTCCTAAAATTAAATGAAAAACTACATTTTAAATTTAAAATAATGTGTATCTATTACTTTGCCTTTAAGGTAAAGCAAAGGGACTCTCGTAGGATTCTATATATAGGAGACAATAAAAAATTAGATAACACAATTTTTGTTCTCTATTTCATATAGTGGCTGAATTTCACAGAGAGACAAAAGATAAGAAAAGTGCTTTCACTTTTCGGTTCCATCACAAACATGCATTGATAGTGGTGGAATACAAATTCATGAGTAATCAAATCCGAATAGTTTTATATTAGAGCCTACACTCTAGGTTATGTAGATTTTAAGGACTAGACGAGGAAGATTCAAGTTTTCTAAGAAGACTTGGAGCTTGGATTATTCGTGGTCAAAGAATTCAAATTATATGCCCAATCGTTCGCTAGGTATATATGTTTATAAATTAATATGATTAATTTATTATTTTATAAATTAATATATTTTATAGAGTGTTTAAAAGTTTTATAAAAAATTTTGTTATACACGATCCACACTTACAACCTTCTGCATCCGAAATCATTTTGAAAACCAACATTGGTTCCATTATGTCCCTCTGAAAAAATCTTCTAGATCCGCCATAGGCAACGACGACATAGTCGATAATGATATGTCCCACAGCCATGCTGCAATGGCCTTTATAGAAGAAGATAAAGATTTCGGAAGTAGATAAAGATTTCGAATGGAGTGTTGCTTTAATATTTATATAGATATGTGACCCCCTCTAATATGACACGCCTAAGACATCTTGTTACAAATTTTGTGCTCCGATGCTGTAGTGGAGCTGATAAGAAGAGCAAGAAAAAAGCAGAGAACAATTAAGTGCCCATTTCCACCATATAAAAAAGCATGAAGATAATACCATGTGATTGTTATAGGAGTACACCTCTCATTTTATATACCCAATTGATTTTCTCATTATGTGTGTAAGAAATTTCATTAAGTGTCTTATGTGCATTTATGTTATTATCAATTAAGGAAATTTATGCAATGGTTGAATAAAATAATAAAGGATAAATTCTATAAATTAACGGTTCTTTGATGGATGGAATGGATATAATGAAATTAAGAAACTGGTTCTCTTTTCATCTTATAAATAAGCGTTATGTTTCATAAATAGTGCGCATTATAAAAAACTTAAGGTTTAAGAGAGAGAAACACAGTTTCACCTATATGTCACTTGATCATTTTGAGGGATTAAGATACGTCTTGTCTCAATTATGGAATTGTGAAAATCATATTGGTATAAGATTTTTGGGTATTATGATGTATGCAATATTAGAGTTTGAATTGCATAATATTAGAGAAACTATTTACAATGTGTTCCACATATCCCATTAAGGGTATTGGTTATTTGTGTTCACTGTTCAGACACATAAGAATGTTTAGCACTCTTCTTTTAATCATGCTACCTTAAATAATCTACTAAGCTCGTGAGGAAAGTTGTCCCAACAATATGACCTCTACTTGATCAGCTGAGCTCTTTACGAATAACTTGGGGATTTAAATTCCAGACTTTCAAGGTAGATGTAGTGGTAGAGAGCCACATTCAATTGTGTGGGGGCATGTGCATCCACTCAATTTTTGAAATTTGAGCTTTTATCCTTAAAATTTTCAAAAGTTTTCAATATTAGCCCGAGTTTACGAGAAAAGTTATAAATGTGCTCCCATTGAATTATTGAAATATCATGTTGTTGTGACCCTATTTCATATTGTTCCTACTTAAAAAAAAAAAAAAAAGAAAAAAAAAAGAAGAAGATACTGGCTACACCACTGAGTAGATATGAAAATTTCATGCCCTAGCATTAAAGATAACTTAAACTGCGCATTCTTCAAAAGGATAAATTTATAGTGCACTATCTAATTTTCTTTTTTCATACCATCAGAATCTAACACAGTCGCCAAATGACGGAAATCCAAATCTCCCAAAACTTCCTCGAAGGTACTGGTGGTGCACTCATTAAAAATATTAGAGCTGCTACTATTGAACCAATACTCAAGTTCTTGTTCACTCAATATAGGGGGAGAAGAAGCATGACCACCAGAAGTCCCGCAGGTACTGTCATTCATTTGAAGATCATCGCAATAATTAATCATCAAATCTGCTGCTTCTGGGGTTAGATATCCATGATCTACAACCAAATGACGATTTAACATCATTTCTCCATTTGAGTCGTTTTCTTCACCAGCAACATTACTAGGATATTGGCATTTTGTAGGCGTTGTTACTACTGTTTGGGTTTTGTTTGTGATTCTAAATGCTTTGGTACGGATAGCTTCCACAGGCACATGGGAATGTGATGAATCAACACTATTTTTAGGCTCCAAAGCTTGTTTGGGGCTTTTTTCTTTGTTGAATTTGCGGTTAATATTGGCAACCTTGGAACTTGGAGGTTCCAATTTTTTCCTCAAACTCGTGTTCCAATAATTTTTTATTTCATTGTCTGTTCGGCCCGGAAGTCTTCCCGCTATTAATGACCATCTAATGAGGGACAAAAACAGATATATTAATAACACTGTAACATAAATGCAAGAAAATGTCGTAAAAAAAAAAAAAAAATGGTTCATGGACTAAAATGTTATAATGCTCATAGTTTATCGACTATACCAATGTTAATTTCTCATAAATAATAGCAGCTGAGATTTGAAAACAGAGGTATAGTAAAAAGAGGGAATTGAAATGAACCTGTTTCCGATAAGCTTATGCATTCTCATAATGAGATCCTCTTCATCTTGAGATATGTTTCCTCTCTTTACGTCTGGTCTGAGATAATTCACCCACCGAAGTCTGCAGCTCTTTCCACAGCGTTTTAGACCTGTATATCCGTTATTTCATATTTTCAGTTAGATATTAATGTCAGTCGCACTTCACTATATAGACAAACATATCTATAGAGCAAAAAAAAAAAACATAGTCATTTTTGCACGTATGCCATATATATTTCTAGTTTTGGTAAATTAGAAAAGTTTCTTCATATAAAAAAAAATATAAAAGTTTCCGTTTTAAAAAAGGTTAAGAATTAATAAATGACGTGATTGAAAACTGATAAATTATATATGTATATATGTATATATTGTTGGAGAAATAATTATTAAAATCAATGATTTATCAAAAAATTATGGAAGTCAATTTTTTTCAAGTGACATTTTCTTTAAACATACTATAAATATGATATGACAAGATTATGTATTTATCAATACCAGCCAACTTGGGAAGATTATTCCACCTTCCTTCACCATGTACTTTGATATAATCTGTAAGAATTTTATCTTCTAGCTTTGACCAGGCTCCTTTATTCAGTCCCACTTTGGAGCAGCAAGGTCTCTTTCCCATCTCTCTCTCTCTCTCTCTCTCACTCTCTCTCTCTCTCACTTACAAATAAATCCTTTCACTCGCGCACACACATATATAGAGTACCTGTGAAATGACGAGCTAATAATGGCGTTTTTATAGCTACGAACTCCGAGGAAAAAATATACTCGGAAGTACTTCACGTGAAAGCACATCCCATCTAGGAATTATATATAAAACAAGACTAATAATTTAAAACTAAAGATTCTGAACATGAGAATTCCCCGAGAAACATATTTTTAACAGGATTGTTTGGTTGGAAAATTCGTGCCCCGATTCGAATTATGGTTCATAGTTTATTATAGTGTTTTCTCTCATAAAAAATACACGTAAATTAAAAATAATTCTAATCTTATGATTCTAATTCATGAACCAAACATCTCCTAAGATTTTCCTTTGTGTTAAATCTATGTTGAGACAAACTAGTAAATAATATTTTCCATTATTGAAAGGATGAAGCCTTCTCTATAGCTCTAACGTTTCACGACAAAAAAATTGATATTTAACGTCTCTAATTAAATGATGGTTTTATAAGAAACTGCCGTCTAATGTGCTGGCTCAAAACGCAGGTTAGTTGGCAAAATATTAGACGATAGTTTCTTGTTTACATTAGATGACGGTTTTACGTAAAATCGTCATTTAATGTGAACGCGAAAATCTAAAAATAAAATTTAACCTCCAATTTATCTTCATTTCGAGAGAAATCTAACTCAAAAACCTTCGCCGATCTCTCTATCTCTTCTTGTGAACCATATTGGCGCCACGCACCACCCAAAAATCTCTCTCTGTCCGACTCTCTCGACGCCGCCACAGCCATTCTCTCTTTGTCTCTCACTTCGTCTCTCTCGACGCTGCCACCGCCATTATCTCACTCACTCTCGCTCTATCTCTCACTGTCGTACGCTCCCAGCCGCCCCGGTGTTCGCCAAACCGCTAAGCGTCCACCAATAGCCACCAACGTCGTCGCCAAACCGCCAACAGCCGCCTCTGTCTTTATTTTGGTCAGTTTAAGTTAAAATATTTTTTTGATTTAAAATTTATAACTATAGATTAGACAACGGTTATTTTCAATTAGGTTAGACTATTAGACGACAGTTTTTTCTTAAATATTATATGATTGTTGGGATTATAACTAATTAATTGCGTCTCTAATATTATTTGAATATTTGAATGTAAATGTGAATATTTGTTGTATATGATTTAAGAAGTTTCAAGTTAGTTATGTTAGGATTAAGAATGAAACTAAATCTAAATTTAAGTTATTTAGTATATTTTTTGTACATATGGATTAGGTTAGGTTAATTCAATGCTGATTAGGTTATTTTTAAGTTATTTAGTTTAGGATTAAGAATGAAACTAAATCTATATATGTTGATTCTTAGAAACATGGTGGGCCGTGATTGGTTCGAGGAAGAACTTAATACAGCACAAGAGTTATTTGGGGAGGAAGGCACTTCCAATGGGGCAAATCAATATGAACTTAGGAAAAGATCAAAATTTAACCTGGATGATGATGGAAAATGAAGGGCAACCATAATGCGTAGAGTTGTCAAAATGGGGGATAAAATAGAAAGAATATAACTGCAATTTGATGAAAAATAACCCCATTAGAAAAGCGGGAAATGAGCTACAAAGTTCTATCGGTATTTTGGCACGTGAACACATGCCAATAATAATAGAAGATTGGAGAAATAAAGAAAATAAAGATAACGTGGATCGAATTTGATATAATTTGGTTCAAAGTTTCACGGTTCCAGAGACCTCAAAAAAATACGAGCTTACTTGTGTAGCGAAGATGGCTCGGGACTTTAGGTTGAACCTATTCACGACCTTTATAAAGCCGTTAAAGGATAGTCTCCAACTCTTTAAACTCCCAAAGAAAGTGGCTAGAAACTACCATTCAATTACCCCGGAGCAATTGAGGAAGTTTGTGGAGTATAGCTTAGTGACGATCGACAGGCTGTTTCTGAAGAAGCATATATAAGAGAAAAGATGGGATATAGGAAAGCAGAGGAAGATTATGTAAGTCTTCAATTACTTTTTTTCAATGATCTTAATTACTTTTTCTTTGTATTACAATCTTTACTATACTTTTTAATTGAATGCAAATGCAAATGCATAACATTGTGGAGAAGCTAGATCGAGTCACTTTATGGCAGTTCATACGTAAAAAACCAAACGGAACTTACAAAATTCTGGAATGCGAAGAGATCGCAAATTAATTGTGAGGTATTGCTTTTCTTTTTAATATTTGTTCGATCAATGGAAAATATGCCAAGAAATTTATAATATTTTTGTTCTAAATTTTGTAGGACCAATATACCGAAGAAGAGTCCCAGGAAAAGTTTCAATCTCAGGAGACTGATGATGTGCTTACTAGATCATTGGAAAACCCAGAACGCTCAGGCCGCGTTCATGGGTAATCCCAATTTGTCAAAAAGTTGACTTATTTTCATTACACTAGGAGATCAAGAAGGGATAAGAAGTTGACAATGATGCATAAGAGGGTGGAAATAATGGAGGCCAGATGGGAAGCAATGTAATCATTCCAAGGCCATACCCCTGTACCTGTAGGAGAGGGAATGGGAACTCATACGGTGGATCAACGGCGTAGTGTTAAGGAGAGTTGTACTGTTCATAACGTTATGCCATCGGCAAAGCCCCCTCATCATGCTTTGGTGATGATGGTAAGTGCATTCTTCTGCCTCTAACAGAAAGGACGAACAATTTTAACGTTGTTGCGATGGCATGGTTGGATAGTTGCCCCACCGATATTGTCCACGGTGTCGCACTTGAATAGGGAAATGTACGCGTCTATATTCAATCGACTTATGTGAGAGACGGGCATCTACCTATCCTTACATTTAATAGCACGACTGTGGGTGACGCTCTTGGGGATTTGTTGCCTAGCCCAGGAATTTGGTTGAACTAGGGTCCTTAAGTAAAGTTAGCAAAGCTCCGATTGGAAAAGAACCCCATGGAGAATCCTCCGGAGCTAGTGAAGAAAAAAGCTAGGAAATAAAAAAAAAGTTAAAAAATATATAAGGACCCACCGGGGACGAGGAAGTAACACAATCGCTACCGGAGCAGTTGCAAGGATTACCTACAAAAATGCAAGACTTAATGATTCATGTGAAAAATCGATGGACATCAGTAGAACAATTTAGATTCTCTTTCTATTTAATATGACTCAAATGTATAATATGTAAATGTTCGTTACATCCGATGATATCAAATGAATGGCCACCATTTGATATGACTCAAATGTATAATATGTAAATGTTCATTACAACCAATGATATCAAATGAATCGCCACCTATCAATGTTCTAACATTTGCATTTAAAATCTAAATTAATTCAAAAGTTTACGCACTTTATCGGTGAATGATATATATAAGACAAAGGACTAGTTATTACTCAATAGTACCACCATATCTCTGGCAGATCTTTCTTGGGCATACAACGTCTAATGTAATTATATATTAAAGGCTCATTTACCAATACCTTTAAAATACTACCATTAGTGACCGTGAATCAGATTTGCTTGTTTCTAGTTTAAACAAAAGAAAAAAGATCCGGCTGGATTTGCTTGCTATGGGAGATTAATTAGCATGTGCAGCCCCCTAAAAGAACCTACAAATAAAAAGACTAAAAAACTTTTTCAGTGAGGGCAAGAGGTAGATTTTAGGGTTATCAATTTAGAGAATATGCATTTGTTATATATTGGCCTCTGACCTTCACTTTCAAAGTCCTATCTATCTTGATATCTTGAGCTTTCTAAATTTAAAGTAGTATTTTCAAAATAGTTTTATTTTCGGTACGAAAATGAGAATGGTTTTGGGAATGGTTTTGAGATTGCTTTTAAGATTGCGTTTGATTAATTTATTAGAGATTGTTTTAGGAAAAAAATGATAAAATTATGTTTGGACATATTTTTAAACAAGGTGTATTAGTTATAGTTTAGAAAATGAAAATGAAAATGAAAATAAAAAATAACTTTTAACTATTTTTTATTTTCTTAACAAAAACCGTTTTAATTGTTTTTTTTTTATTTTTGTTCTCATTTCTAAAGTATTACTAACCAACCGCGGTTTATAACCCGTTTTTGTTTTTCTGCCTCAAAAGACATGCAAAAAAATTTTAAAAAACTGTGAAAACAATTTCAAACTGGCCTAAAATTTTAAGGGCTATTTACATAAATGGCAATGATGACTGCCTTGTTTTAAAAAATGCCCACTTTCTTGTTCATACATATTAAGACATGTATATCTTTTATATAATAAAAAGGGGAAAAAATAATTAAACAACAAAATAGGAAACAAAATATGAATATAAAACATTCTAAGTTTAAAATACAAAAGTCAAATTATTTCATTTAATAAAATCTAATCTAATTATTTTAAGAAATGGAAGGTTTCTTTATAAAAAAAAGAAGAAAAATCCACCGAATATTTTTAAAAATCTTAGCCGTAAAAGTCTGCAACTTTGATAGTTCCTCTAAATTGAATCCCTCGACCCTCAAATCAAACCATACTTTCATTATCTAACGATCAAATCATTATGAAACAAAATATTTATAATACGAAGTAACACAAAAAAATGTACACATCAAACAGCTTTTCTTTACTTTAATGGTGATATCATTTTGAAACACACTGAAAATAAAAAAAAAATACAATAAGTCTCAAACAATCATCATGCATATATTTGTGAACACATAATAGACCGTTTCATTATTTTAATGACCTCAGAATTATGAAAAAGAATGAGTATAAAATTTGAGATGACACAAATTCATGAACACATAATAGTTTGTTTCCTTATTGTAATGATTCTAGTGTTATGAAAAATAATGAATATAAAGTTTGATATGACTCAAGTAAAATCAGACACCGAAACAGATGTATTTTTAAGTGGACAAAAAACACAAAATTATATAAAATCAATACCTATTTCACTAAAAGTATGATTAAATAATAAT